CATTCAGCCACGATCTTGTTCCACACATTACTTGTAAAACGGACTAAACTCACTCCAACAAGAAAACGGTCTTAAAGAAAGGTGTTCTTTGTAGATTTACAAGCCCAGCAAATCTGAAAGGAAAAAAAAATGTAATGAAAAAGCACCATGGTACGATAGCTAAGCTTACATTTTTCAAAACGGTTCCAAATCACGTTGCAACCGCAAGCTATAAACCCCGCAGACTTAACGATTTGTGGTCATACCACAGGTGTTTAAACCTGCACATTTGATTTGACAAAGAGAAAAGATAGAAAAATCTTGTAGGCATAAAAGAAATCAAGGATGCAAAGTTAGGGGATATGATGAACAGAAAATAAAACTTCAATTTCAGTGAGCGGCCTTTCATTTATGGGCTTCAGAATATTTGAACAATTGCACACCACCGACCCTGTCTGGAAAGCCTTTATGCAAATTATTATCTACTGTATATCTCCAGCTTCTTAAATAATCTTTTACAAAAGTGACATTGAAGGATGGCATGATGACATTCACAGTTGTCTACGTCCTTCAACTGCCTAATCTAGCACCTGAAATTAGAACGTTAACCCTTTAACCAAGAGGAATTATTCGAAGTAAAATGTTCGGACCGGCGAAAAAAATGGCTTCGGACCACCACTCCTTGAGCGCATGCGTAGAATGCTTGAACGCATCTCCAAACATCTCCAATAAGTTCGAACAAACAAGTAAACAACTTCAAATGGACCGTGTGTGAACCCGGCATGAACGTTTCTGTGATTGCTTGTCTTAAATCTTTGAAATTGCAGTTATTTGCATCTTTGTAACATTTATCATCGTGAGCATATGTAATAAAATAATAATAAAAATAATAATAATAAATTAAAGCGCTAAAATGTTTGTGTTCGAATATCTGTGTTTCCGACTAGGACAATTTTGGGCAAAGAGACAAAGCCAGAGTAATATCAACATGTCCGGAGAGTTCAACGGCTGTGGCTTTATTCGACACTATTCCGTTTCTGACTGCGAGCAAGCTCTTCCGGGCGAAGAAGGCTAGATTCAGCTGTAGATTACGAGCATCCTCGGTCAAGCGAATGCTGGCTCCTGATTGGGCACCTGAGTTCTTTTCGTGAGTTCGTACACGACGGCTATTAGGGACCTTAAAGGGGCTATGTCACCCCACACGCATGCGCGAGCCAATGAAAACAAACTTGAAAAAGTTGGCCTGTCTTTTTCAAGTTCTGTCGGGNGAAATATCCCTTATCTAAACCCGTTTCCCTGGTTAACCTCTCTAAATTCGGAGCCTTGGACGTGACAGAGAACATGGAGAAAGTCACGCGCTAAAACAATAGAATTTTGACAGTTGAAAGTAATTTGCATAACCTCAGAACGCACATGGAGAAAGTCACGCGTTAAAAAGAATAGAATTTTGACAGTTGGAAGTAATTTGCATAACCTCAGAGCGCATGCTCTCCAGCTGACATAGCCCCTTTAAGCAACGTCGTCGATGACGGCAGAGAAAATGTCGCTAAAAAATGAATTTGCGTTCTTTCAAATTAAATCGCGTCTATTTGGACCCTCTCAATATGTCAAATGGAATGGAGTTGAATTCTTAAGGATTTTATCAGGGGCACCCAACGACAATTTGCGGACAAATGATCTGTTCGGAAGATTTGAGATCTAGAATTTTCGGAACATTTGTTGTAAAATTTTTTGCTTGCCTGCCTCTCCTAGGATTTTCGAACATCTAAAAACTACTATAGTTGCCCATTTTTAACGGATTTTTACCCTGAAAAGGTCACCTAGAATTTTCGGGAGCTTTTTTTCTGGCTGAAATTTTCGAAAAGGTAACTTTTGATCCCTGTAATTTTCGGATCACTAGACTTTCAGCTAGGAAATCCGAACAGATGAATAAAATTTAGGGGATAAAAATATGCCTATATCTACCGTTTGAATACTAAAATACGTTTAACAATGCTATGTTTAAGTGGTTTTGAACTATATTCTCGTTGGGTGCCCCTGTTTTATTCAGGATCAAAAAGATGAAGAAAAATTCGTCGTCGAGTGTCCACGTCGTCCATAAAACGTCAAATTAGGAGGTTTCGCGTCGTAGTCGTGCAGTGGACGTCAAAGAAATGTACTAAAAAGCGCGATGCACGTGCAGAGCAGTTGTTTTGTTCATTATGAAGTAGCCGTCGTCGTCGTAGTTGCTTAAGCTCCATTATCTCGCCACAGTTGCCTATTCTCGTCCCCAGAGCCACTCGGCTTTATTTGTAACCGACCAGTAGCCCACACTTTAGCCCACACCTTGTGAAGCCCACACCGCGGTCAAACGTCTGAGCATGCGCGAAGAATTGCGTGGGATCACTACGTTCGATTTGGCAAAGCTACACACATGTGGCTACGTCTTCTGGCGGGCAAGAACAGGGGAATTTCCTTTGTATTTCATGAAAGTTCACTGGCGATGAATAGGAAGAATAAGATGAACGTATAATATGAAATTACTGTCAACCGCCAATTTACTGTGTAACTACCACCCACTTGTAACCGCTCTGTGGTATTAGCCAACTCAAAAGCTTGGCTCCTTTTATTAGCTGCTACACACTCTTTTCCTTTGTTATGTTTAATTCAATGTATAGTTAGCTCTGTTTTTTACTTCTTCTCTTTTTTCCTTATTATTGTTGTATTGTAGTTGAATAAGTGTGAATAAATGAACTTGAACTTGAACTTGAACTTGAAATGTAAGTATGAGTAAACTTCCCTTTCAATCATAATATTCCCCAACTGCTCGTATACTCTTGTTGATCAATGAAGGCGCGCTTTTATATTTTGTGGCCGCTGAAAGTTTAAGCTCAAGTTTAAATAGTTTTAAATTGCTTGATTAACTGAAAAGGGGCAAATAAAGGTTGCATTCAATTTTATTTGCAATTGTGCCTTCTTTCTTAGACTATTTTAGACTGTCTTTTAGAAAATCTTGTTAGCCAATTGGGCTAACTGACCAGCCATCATTTTGAGCTGGGCAGCTATCTTCTCGAGGCTTTGTTACCTGTTTATTATTTTTTTCTGCTTTTTCCTAATTCTTCCTAAATCTTCTTTCTTGATCTTTGATCATCTCTTTGGCTTAAACAAAAGTTGAATGAAAAAGTTGAGTGAAAAAGTTGAATTCTGTTTTTTCTCTTCTGTTTCAATCGCAAATAGTACACCCCTTAATACTTCATTTCTTTTTTTGACAACTGAAACAGGAATGACTAGAACCAGTTTTTCGAAGATCACCTGTAGTTAATTGGTTCTGGCGAGCTCATTATTAAAATGCAAAGCATCACTCAGGGGCACCCAACGTCAATTTTCGGAAAATATCTGTTCGGAAGACGATTTGAGATCTAGAATTTTCGGAACACTTGTTGTAAAATTTCTTACTTGCCTGCCTCCCCTAGGATTTTCGAACATCTTAAAAATGGTATAATTGCCCATTTTTTAACGGATGTTTACCCTAAAAAGGTCACCTAGAAATTTCGGGAGCCTTTTTTCGGGCTGAAATTTTCGAAAAGGTAAGTTTTGATCCCTACAATTTTCGGATCATTAGACTTTCAGCTAGGAAATCCGAACAGATGAAAAATTTTTCATGGGATAAAAATATGACTATATCTACTGTTTAAATACTAAAAAACGTTTAACGATGCTATGTTTAAGTGGTTTTGAACTATATTCTCGTTCAGGTGCCCCTGATCACTGCATTTATAGCAAAATGTTGAAAGCCTTGGCTCACCTGATCAGGTGCTCAAAAGGCAATCGAGAAAATAGGTCATGGGGAGGGGAGGGGAGGGAAAGGCTGAAAAAAAAACATTAACCGAGAAAAAAATATTTCTATACAGTTGTTCATCTGTTTATATATATAAAATATTACATAAAATGAGAGGACAGTTAATTCAAATTGCCGAGAACAAATTCTTAGTTAAGTGTGGTTTACACTAGGGCTGTCATTGTCATTGTGTTACGGGCAACATTCACATGAAATTGCGCCCAGGACAGAATAGCCTGCGTAGCAAGCGTTTCCGTTTGGTTTCGGAAGCACTGAGAAAGACCGAGGAACGGGATTTGGTTTTGGCCGCGCGAGAAATGAAACGACAGCCTAAACCGCACGGAAACGCTTGCTACGCAGGCTAACGACAGAAATAAAACGCAAACCATTTACACGAGCTGTTTTCATCTTAGTTAAGACATGCTCGTATAAATGGTACAGTTTGCGCCTTATTTAGGACCCCGGGGGGTACTCCCTTATATATGCCATGGGTATGTGCTGCCCCATCGGTAGTAGCCTGAGTATCAGGCCTTCCTTCACCTCTCTCCCTTTTTCGCTTCCATCTTTCCCCTTTTCCCCAGAAACGCCTGATACTCAGGCTACATCGGTAGGGTTTAGCCTGCGAAAAAATCCGTCGCTCCTCGCCCCCAACGGCAAAGAGCGAGGAGAAACGGATGTTTTCACAGGGGGCTAGTAGGGTTTTTGCCCCGTTTTGGTCTGAAAAGGGGTATGGTTTTCGAGGGAACTGCAGAGTGTATGAACGTATTTATAGTTCCAATTCCAAATGAGAAAGAAAGAAAGAGAAATGTGCGAATTCGAAATGGATTTGAATAATTTTTTTGTTTGCTCGCTGATGTAAGTAATGATGACATAATTTCTGCCCAAAAAGGCCAGGTCTGAAAACGGGTATGCCAGTTTCAGAGTTCTAGTCTGAAAATAGGTATGGAACAAGAGCCTTAATAGGACGCCATAATAATAGTCCTATTATGGCTCTTGGTATGCAAATAACATTTTTTGGTCAGAAATCGGGTCAGGAATTGAAGAACCGGGCGGCACATCCCCACCAAGAATTCCCTGGAGTACCCCTCTCCCCAGGGTTTAGGACGTGTCTTATTTTCAATTTGTAGCTTCATCCGGGATGTTGATGTCGCGTACCCATAACTCCATGCGGTCTTGCATGAAAAGGAGGCCTTTCTCCTTCTTCACGCGGTCGAGGCCGTACTTTGTTGTAAAGCGAGGCTCTCCTCGAAAGTTTGGCGCTTTTATTTTTAGCTTTTCCTGTCTCGCTTTCAAGCGTAAACACCAAGCACTACTTTATTGATCATTCATGGTCAATTTTGACCCGCTAGGATCACACGGGTCTTCCAGTTGCAACACAATGGCGACGGATTCCGCGGAAACATTGCCTAGCGAGTCCATTCAACAACAAATCTTGGTTTCTGAGCAAGTTACAGCGCCTGAAGGTTTTCAAAACGCGATCTCTTCGAACATTCCCACAACAATTCAAACTATTCCTCAGCAAAATGGGGAAATTGCTACCATTTCGACCTCGACTTTAGCCGAGACAATGGCAACTTCAGAAGCGATCATGGCGACTGAGAGTATTTCGGTTGGGACTCAAGAAGCTTCGTCGTCATTGAGTGCGCAAGAGATCGTGGACAGCATCCCTCAAGTCCAGGAACACGATTCCGTCCCAGGATCACAGCAGAGTTTAGTTATTTCAGCTGAAAATGTCGCGATTGGAACAAGCGCTTCACTTGACGCTTCTCCGCATCCGCAGATAGCCTCAAATTATCCCTGGGCTGCCCGGCTTCACGATTGCGAGCTCATAGGGGATTCCTATAGGGGTTATGTGATGAACGAGGTGGAATTGGACTTGATCTTGACCTTACATAAACAGCACACCAGCAGTTGCTGGGGTACGAGACAGTCTCCATCATCAGCTAAACCATCCATTCGGCTGATGTGGAAATCTCAGTATGTACCATATGATGGGATACCTTTCTTGAATACAGGTGCACAGTTTTTTTTATTTATGTTGGGATAAAAAACCGAACTCTGAATTATGAAGCCCTCTCAGGGGGGTGGGGATTTGAATGACCCCCCTACACCCACCCATGTGTTGGTGCTTAATTTCTTCATTGCTGTCGCAGTTTCAACAAACGAAGGCCATGCTCTTGCAGAGCGTGGTGGTCCCTGATGCTTAATTTTTGCTCCTGTTAACCAGAAAATCTGAGTTTTTTCATAGAGATCCTATGCTGAGCACCCCTGATATTTCACAGGTTCAGAACACTGGGCTTTTTTCAGTTTTTTAAGAGCACAGTCTTGCCAATCCTTGTCTCATTTGTCACTGTTTCTTCTATTTTGTGTCACTTGTAACGTTTCAAGGCCATGTGGCTTGTCAGAATTTAACCCTAACTGGGCCTTTGTAAACTGTTATGAATGGAAGATACCATTTTGTCAAATCAGTTACCCTAAATTTCTCCCCTCTCCTCCCTACTACCCCTGTGTGCCTGCCACATATGTATACGGGAGGAAGATTTTGATCTAACTGCAGAATTATATTACTGTATGTTTGCAGTGTGAGGGATTTTGAAGAGGATGAAATCTCTGTATCGTTGTATTTTAATGAATTTTTTTATCCTGCAGCTCTTGCAAAATGGATTGGATGACAATTTTGTCCATTTTTGGGCAGCTCTTCCCAATCTCATGGTCCATTATTTTGACCGAGTTAACGTAATTTGTTATTGTGTGCTGCTGGCTAGTTAAGGCAAACATACCTTGCACTGTCTGTGAAAAGAAAGTTAGACCAGAGTTCTTCCATTGTCTATTTGCATGTCTTTGTGGCACAAAGTGGCTAATGGCTATTATTGTTGTTGTTGTTGTTGTTGTTGTTGTTCTTCTTCTTCTTCTTGTTCTCCTTCTTCTTCTTAATTGTCTTTAAGTCACTAGGATATTGCTGTTTTAGGTCAAATCTGGTCTGAAGTCATTACTGACAGCCTTTATCTAAACACAAAATGCTTCTGTAGAGTTACAGCTTGTATGTAGAAGATATCAAACTGAGATTTCATCAGGGAGCGCTAAAGTTGGTCCAACTTTTTCAAGTTTCAATTACAGGGTATCCATCCTTGCCATTTGTAGCAACAAACAACAGGAAACAGTTCCAATGCTGACTATATTCTTCAATTACAAAACTGGAACATTATTTTAGAATTCAATTGATGAGAAGGATTTAATTAGCTTTTCTAAAAAATAGTAAATAGCACGACATAGCTCCTTTAAAATGTACTGTAAAGTACAGTCTAACCTCTCCTTATGGACATCTCTATAATGCCGACACTTCTCTATTACGGACAGTTTATTTGGTCCCAGAAAAGCCAAAAATTATACATTCCCTACCTCTATAATACCAACACCTCTGTAAAGTGGACTCTTGGTTCTATCCCTTGGATGTCCGTATTAAAGAGGTTTGACTGTATGTATAATACTGCAAAATTCCAAAAATAAGCCCCAGAGCTTTTTTTTTTCAAAGGCCCTTTTTAAGGGGCTTATTTTCGGAGGGGCTTATATTGGAGGGGCTTATCTACGGAGGGAAATTTGCATTTCAAAATCAATTGGGCTAGCCTTATAGTTGGAAGTAAATGTACCATTTGTGCTTTGTTTTACTTTGTCTTTGAGGACAATTTTCCAAGTACAAGCCCCTGGGAGGCTTATATTCGGAGGGGCGATTTAATGGAGGGTTTTTTGCTTATACTTGGAGGGGTAGCCTGTACACAGACGTCGCCCCTCCCTCAGAAAAAAATCGGAAGAAGAGATGTCTGTGAATCGCCGTCGTTAATCATGTTCCGGTATACATTTGCATAAATTATTTTTTGTTGTTGTTTCATCTGACAGTTGAAAAGGTGTTGACAGACCAACACCACTGGGGACTCTTTTAGAGCACGTATGCAGTTATTCTCTTGGATGTTCTCAACATTATTTTATTGCTAAGCTAGGCTCTAACTAGAATATCTAGCTAAAATGTTATTTAAAAGAGTATTTCATGCTTTTGAAGGTTTTTTTTGTTTTTGAAGTGTGTTTTTTTTTTTAGCTCATAAAGTCTGTCTGTTACTGTACATCGATTTCCTGTGGTTTTTGGTTTGACAGAATTTTGATCTCGGAAGGTTGTTTACATTTCCAGTCAAGCGTTTTATGCAGGAGTTGATCCATTGGATGATTTTGAGTAGGTTTCATGTAAAGGATCCTTCACTTCTCTTCAGCAAGAAACTACAATAGCCTTACTTTTGCCTAATTCTCTGAGTCATGACCGGCACGTGTAGGCCAAAAAATAGCCCTGGCGTCTGTACACAGGCTAGCCGAACATCTTCACGCAATGTCCATGCTAAAATCCAGATATAAGATCTCTGATTAAGCGTTGATTTCTGTACGTCCACCCGCAACCTTTGCAGCAAACATTGGTGGTCTTAATTTCACATGCCTATTCCAGAGGGCGGGTTGTTCCTCATATACCAGAGACCTGAAATCCAAGTAAACAAATATAAATGCGGTAAACTGTCTACAAAGACTGAGTTTTTCCCCGGGGAATCTATTCTGAGATTCATTCACCAATCCCAACACCGGAAATTATTTGCATAATGGGATAAACATTACAACCAATCAGGGGCTGTCCCCAACATTACGGGGAAACGGGAACACGATTATCGTCGGCGATTCACAGATGTCCCTTCTCCCGATTTTTCCTGAGGGAGGGGGGACGTCTGTACACAGGCTAATGGAGGGGCTTATTCTCGGAATTTTACGGTATATTAATGTAGGACATCCCCTATTGTTTTGTTTTGTTTGAAAATCATCCCCTTTTCCTACATATATCCTTGGCAGGAGATATGAGACTGTTTGATAAACATTGTGTTGACACAAACAAAATTTGCCATAGGCCGACGAGCAACAGTTATGGAATGTCAGTATGGACCAAGAAGAAAAGGAGCTGTAAACAAGAAGCAGCCTGACTATAATGAACATGGCTCCCCAGTAAAGAAGCATCGCCCTACTTGTCCTGCCAGAATTTATATCAAGAAAGTGCGCAAATTTCCAGAGTTCAGAATAGATCCTACTATGGATGCCAAGCATGTGCGACAGGCCCAGGAGAGAGCACTAACAGCACTAAGGCTGGCAGGAGTAGACATTGGCGGTGAGGAAAGGTACAGTACTATCAACATACTAATCATGAATTTGAGGTTACTCTGCAAACATGTTGAGTGTGATCACCCAAACTAAGTGCACAAAGAATCTCATAGAATTTCTAGGAGATCAAATTGATGATTATCAGTGCTCCAAACTCTTTTTAAAGTTGACTTTTGGCGGCTAGGCTGCATCGTCACCAAAATGGCCCTCGGGGATGTTTATGCAGACAAGTAAATTTCACCACCAAGCCAGGAAGTGGTGAAATTTGTCATTTGACATAAACATGCATATGGGGTATTCCCTAGCCCAATCACAAAATGAACTAGCCCCCATTCCGTTTCCCCAGAAATTCAGTATGCCTAACGAGTATTCACCTCTAAACTGAAGGCCTCTTTCTTGCTATAAAGGTATGTTACACATTTGGTCTTTTGGTGCCTGTAGACTGCTTGTAGTCTACTCATGATTACTATAGTATATACTTAATGGCATCAACTTTATCTTAGATTGGTACATTTGCAGGTACTATGTTGAACTACCACTGCTGCTAGCTCACGACCACTACTGACAGTATATATTATCATAATGGTGTCAAGTTTATCTTAGTTTTATGAATTTCCAGATACTATGTTCAACTACCACTTCCGCTAGCTCACGAGTACCACGATATTGATGATATACCCATGGATCCTGAAGAGAGTGCCGAGTCCCAGGGTCAGCGCCTTAATCCTGAAGTCATGAATAAGATTCGTGAACTAGTTGCAAGAGGTGTGAGTGGGATATACACTGTTAAACACTGCTTGAAGGTGTTTGTGGAGAAGGAATTGTTTGCAAATGTGGAAGCACCAGCCAGACATAACAGGTCATATTTCCCTACCATCATTGATATTCAGAATCATATTCATCAAGCTCAGATGGCGCTCGCCACTGGAAGTCTCATGCCTCTTCCTCCGGTGAGTTATATGATGTTATTTTCTTTATGTGGGGTTAAATAATTATTATGCAACTTCATGTGTGCTGATTGGCCGAGAGCTACTTTTGTATTAAAGACCATGGAAATAATGTGATGGCAAATTTCTCAGTTGTTTCTTTCTTGTCGTGAAACAGAATATCGTGAACTGATGTCACAATCATTCCCAGTCTCCTGTTTTCAGTTGTGTGGTTTTGTACCTCACCGAAAGTGGTGTTTCACTTCCTTGGCATGTCAAAACACCAAAAAGAAAAATCGATGTCAAAAAATTGTTTTAGGTATATCCTTATCAGGACACTGTGTAGATTTTAACAAGCAAGTTAAAAAATTCTGTTTTTACATTTAAATTTGTTTCTTTAAGCTCACAAATTTCCCTCAAAGTTATCTGCAACTCAAGGAGAAAACCCGTAAGAGAAAGCACACACCAGAAAAACTCTCACAATCATCACAGACCTCAACTGAAACTATCACAAGCATACAGCGGCAATATTCCTCTGCAAGGATGACGTCACAAGATCAGGAGCAGCTACTCCATCAGGTATATAATACATAGTGTCAAACCTCATATAAGCGACCACCCAAAATGTGAAGACTTAGTGGTCGCTTATGGAAGGTGGTTGTTCACAAGAAGCAAACCACAGGGGGTCTCTTCTTAGAAGTGGTTCGGACACATCTACTTTATCAAAGATAATTTATTGCATGGAATTTCTAAGTTGCATTATGTGTAGTGCCATGTTGATGCTAAAAGTTTTTCTTATACTCTAAGTAACATGCAATGGAGGACAAAAATCCTTTGAACGGTTATGGAAAACCTTCCTTCCATATCCTTAACTTATCAAATGTTCAGATGTAGCATAATATGCAGTTCTCTAACCACTTGGATACTGCGACTGGCCCTCCCCTCCCCCCTCCAAACAATGTTGGGATGAAGAAACACTTTTAGAATGGGATAAAGTGTACAGGGGTGCACAAACTACAACATTGATTGGGGGGAGAGGAGGGGGAAAGGGGGAAAAATTAAGGCAGATCGTGTTAATTGTCCTAAGAATTTTGTCCTCTATTGTAGTAGATACAGTGAACATAGAGATCAGACCATGCACATAGTGGTCACCTACAAAAGGTTAAAAACAATGGAAAATTAGTGAGCCCTAAAATGTGGTCACTGTCACTTACAGAGGGGGGTTGTTTATAAGAGTTTCCAACTGTACAGTAAGTGTTTGTTTGGCAGGGGAATTTTTGGTGGTTCAATTCTCATGGGAGGTGGTTGCTATTAGAGGTGGTCGCACATGGTGGTTTGTTTTTACTGTACAGTGTATCTCCTGGAAAAGGAGAATGCTTGAATATTTGGTTGCCATTGAAAAAGTGTCCACCTCAAGACCAAACTAGCAAAATAAGAAATGCCTGCCTAGAATAAGTTCCTACCTCCCTCTCACCTTCTAACACAGCAACGATGTTATCATTAAGAAAGCCTTCTTTTGCACTTTTATCAAATAAAATCATCAATCTAGAGTTTCAGGGAATGTTTAATAAACATCTCAATAAGCGGCCCTCTCAAGCACCAATTCCTTTTTCACTAAAATGCCTGTCAAATTTTGTCCATAGCGCCTTTGAAGATTGTCCCATCTCAGACAAAATGTATAAAATTGCAACAAACTATTTGTATTGGTCAAATGTTGGTGATGACAGAAAATTTGTCAAAATAAACAGCTTTTTCACTAGTGGGGATTGGCCCATGGTTACTAAAATGGTAAAATTAAATAATGATTATTTTACCATTTTTACCATTTTTTGTGATGTTTAACAGGCAAGCAGAGAGAATTACCAGGGCAGTGAACAGGCACACCAGCTTGGAATCATTCAGGGTACTGACGGACAAGCTACTGAAGTCGATCTTTCTAATCAGCATCAGATTCTCATCACACAGGGCTCTGGATCAGGACGAGATGAAGGTCAGAGAGAAACTTTTTACTTTTGATGGCCCATGTTATGTAATTTGCTACATGAGTGGGCCATTTCCAAACAAATTTACAAATGTGCACTACAGCAGTATATAGGATGTATCTAGGATTTTTATTGACAGATCTGTCCCTGTTTGCAGTTTGAGTGAAAGCAAGTGTTAAGTAATTTTATTGTACATGAATGTATCAGTATGGTTATTATCATCCATTACTCCTTTTGTATTTACTGGTTATTCATACCCAATACCATCTTTTAATGTTTTAAGCAGTTATTAACATTTCACTCAATTTAATGGCAATTTTCACTGTTTGAATAGAGTGCAAGCAGTCGAGCACGTTTGCTCAAAAATCTGTGAGGGAGTAGAGTATGTGACTATTTGAGCGGCAAAGCCATGAGCAGCAGGTTTTGTGGATGCCATTATGAGCACAAAGAGAGACTCTGTTTTTGCGGGGACTGGCAATACACAACACACTGCTCTCGGCTTCTCTACTCAAAAAATCACATATCACAATTGATCACAGTTTTTGGAGCAAAAGAGAGACTGCTCGCAGTCTGCTCGCCCATTTTACATAAAAAACTCCATCGCACATGTTTGATGTCTCCTATTGTAATTGTGTTCCAGGTCAAGTGGTCATTGTAGTGAATGCAAGCAGTTTCTTTTCTGGTCAGTCTGATTCAGATACACCAGCAACACTGTCCCTAACCATACCAGCTTCACAAGTGGCCAGCCTAAGCCATGCATCTTTACATTCAGCCGCCGGTGCCCAGGCAGTAACTTTAATCCCATCGCAAACTGATGCACCACCCCAGACTTCAGGATCAGCTACAACGTCTCCCCAAACTGTCACGTTTATACCACAGGTGGCTGAGAACAGTCGCAGTGCGGTGGCCTTTTTAACAACACAGCAAAGTGATAATACTAGTCAGGTTCCTGTCTCAGCAGCTTATCTCGCTACCCATGGACAGACAAGCAACATTTTAAGTATGTTGGATTCTGCACTGCAGGCATCTTCACCAGGGTCTGCTCCGATAATAAGAGTTGGTAGCAGTGCCGGAGTAGTTCCAGCAACTGACAGCAGCCAATCAACAGATGCAAGTAAGACACAGATTTATAGATGTTGTGATTCAGTTTTATCCATGGTTTGAAGTTTATGTTCCTTTGTCTAAATAGATGATATTACATAGCCGCGCAGACGTACAAAATTTCTTTCTGAGTGTTGAAATTAATAGTTCACAAGTGATCGCAGTGAACGAGTGAAATATCTTTGAACACTCAGAGAGAAATTCTGTGTCTCCAAGTGGCAAAATAATGTTCTATTTTATTATCTGCATATAGACACCAATGAAATACTAAACCATGTCACTTAAATATTTTTTTGCTATGATAGGCGCAACTTTTCATATAGTCATAGGAGTGGTCACTGTTGATCTTTTCACATGTGAATTAAGTTGTGGGAAAGCTCACCTGGTATTTCATTGGTAGTTATATAATATAACTTATTATTTTGTATACCACCATGTCCCTACAAATGCCAAAAATACAACATATACACCACAGATAAAACAACAGCAAAGACAGAACATACCTCCTGTTTTTTCGTAGCAGAAGAAGAAAATTAATGGTTACAAGACTTAGTGAGAATTGGCCACTTCCCTTCAACCAGATTTTAATCGACTGTTTTCTTTCCATGCACTTCTAATACCTTTTGTGCTATATTAAGAGGCTAAAAGTGTACTATTTTTGAGTTACATGTAATGGTTAATGTACAGTTTGACAGCGAGGAACCACCATCTGAGTGGTATTCAATCTAGAATTCGATGGAGGAGGCTTTTTGATAATGACATCTTACAGCAAACCTACCCGAAAAAGCGTACATCTCACGGTTTTTTATAAAACTTAACTTGGTAACCCAGTTGTCACCCCAAGTACAGCATAATCTTGATCTGTTCTGGTCTCTGCGTTTAATTCCCATCACTGTGTGCATTGTGCTGCCTGTGATATCTTTGAATTCAAGGATCTAACAGTTTGAAATACCACTGACAATACGGCTTTGAAATAAAAAAATATTTGTCTTCATTGTCGAGAGTTTAAAATAATTTGAATGGCCATGAAACAATACCAGGCTGTTTGAAAAGCGGAAGGGACCATTCCAGGTTGAGGGTTGCTAAACCTTGCTCCAGAATCTCTGACTTATTATGAACTTCTTATACGCACTCTCGCAAGATATTTTTTCGTAGGTTATGGTACCGTAATTAGCCACTCTGACCAATCGCAACGCGCTGACAAGAAATTGAACCGATCAAAACTCAAAGAAATGCCGCGTAGCCACCGCCTTCCCTAAGCGCGGGAAGATGGGTACTGCTTTTGATTTCTCTTATTTGTTATTGGTTAAGAAAGATGTGCAAGATAGTTTAACCAATCACAGAGCATGGCATGCTAAACCAGAGTTATCAGGAAGTTACTTTCAAAACCCAGTGAAAAACCACTGTGAGATCCAATGAAATGTGGTAAAACTAAAGGCTTTGTTTTTTTTCTGTTTTAGTTTCTGGTCACGTGGTGGCTACCCAGGCAGCTGTTGACGCGGTGCTTAGCGCTGCCAAAGAAGAATCAAAGCAATCTCGATCCGGAGAAGAAAGTGTGGAGGGTGAACCGCAGGAAAAGCGCCAAGCACTGGAAGTAGATTTGTCCTCACTAGTCAAAGAAGCAGTGTTTGATGGTCAACAGGTATGGTGCTGTACCCAAATGCTTAGTTTGAAGTCTTGTACACGTGCTGACCCGAAGTAGAATATGTTAGCCTTTATTGTGGGCAGTGATATAGAGTAAAGTAAAGTCACACCACTGCCATTTCATAGGCTGCACTGCACATAGTTTTAGACTCCAGTGTTTCGTCTAGCGAAGTCTTTGCTGAAGGTCTTGTCTTGTCCTTCGCGTCGCCAAGTAGGTTCACGGTTACCAGTCGTTTTGATACAAGTTAATTCCTTCGAGGTGTAAATAGTTTCACGTACCTGGCTTAAAGAACGAAGAATATTCACCCAAAATGTTTTTCTTGTTCAATTGCCAACTTTACTTGAAGTAATCGAAATCTTTTTTTGCAATTTTAGCGCTTGAGTTCGTTTCGAAACGACCGGTTTCCGTCAAATGGTTACCGGTCGTAGTAGGCTCTCAGGTCAGTCACAAAAGAGGTCAGTTTGCGTCCGTTGTCAAAGTGCATATCGAATGTGCATGTCTTCACAGACAAATTGGGTTTACGATGGGCTAACAATAGTAAGACAACTAAATCGACTAACTAACCAGTAAGCAGAATAATAAACTTTCAACGGACACCAGAAACACTTCTCACTTGGGATTGTAATCCGTCATACTCATAACTACGCCCCCCCCCCCCTTCCCCCGGGCGTATTTGGCATACTGTCTTCTCGTAACATTGACCATGATTAGGCTTTTGATATTTCGCAGGTTGAGGGAGTTATCAGTGAAGCGCAAGAAAAAAGCTCTGCAGAAGGTGAACAGCCGAGAATGGTTTCCATCCCTGCACCTTCATCCCAACAGCAGTCGGACAACACCCAGTTCACCAGTCTATCACAAGCCAACGAGGAAGGAAATTTCATCTCCATGGCCACAACACGACCTGTCGTCATGGTACCAGAATCGGTTCTTCAGTCGGTGCAGGAAGGCGGACAGACAGTGATTCTTGAAGATGGTGAGAATAAACTACATGTAGCTGTCCGAGACAGAGAACATTGCACAGGAACTCAGCAAATGTCAGTCGAACTTCAACACAATGAATCAGCTTACGAGAATAATGATGCTTCACCACAAATCCCTGTCGTCATGGAAACAGACCAAAGAGTTTCTGTTGCCATGGAGACCAATGACGTCGTCCCAGCACCCGTAACGACGTCTCAAGATTTAGGCGTTTCTATAGAAACAGATTCAGAGCAGCCTAAACAGCAAGCGACCACACACGAGAACAGTCTGAAAGTTACCGAGGAAGAACAAAGTCTGCAGGATTACAATATACCGGCCTCATGTGCTGCGCAATCTAGTGGCACTGATCCCATCAGTGTTTCGCTTTTGTTTGCAAATAGCCAGCAGCAGTTACCGTTACCTTTGGACGAACCAGCTGTTACTTCTCATACAGACACTGTTTCAGCAGTAAATAACACTCCCGCAGTTTTCTCGCAGTAACTCATCCAGGCGAGCTTTCTACAGTAGACCTCTTAATCATGTATGTTTTGTTTTCCCAATACAGGTCATGTGATAATACTCTAGGGAACTGTTATTTTCGCTCATAGCTACGCATAGTCATGAAAAGACAAAGGGTCAAGTTCCCTAGGGACCTCTATTGGGAAAATAAAACATACAAGGTAAAGAGGTTTATTCTCTAAGGGCCTGTTTACATGGAGTTGGGGGACCCCAGGTAAGCGAGGTAATCTGCGGCGGGTCACCACACCTATCATGTAAACGTGATCAAATTAAAATGAGAGATTATATGGACAGGCGGGTTACCTCACCTACCTGGGGTCCCCCACCTCTATGTAAACAGTCCCTAAAACTTATTAGTGCACAGTTACAGTAGTATAACCTCCGACGCAGACGTTTTTTTGGCTGATCACGCAATCTTCCGCCTAAGGAACGCGTCATGAAACCCTAAGAACGGCTGCGTGGGAGGCTTACAGTGGTATGGATTCTAGAACAAACTCCTGTAGCCAGTTTAACGAAGTGGTTTATGCAGAAACTTGTTTGAACAAACCACTCATGTTGGGATCAGAGCTAAAACCTCACCCCTCCTCCCTACTTCTGGCCTATGCATCTTACATGACCATATTTTGAGCGATCAAGAAAGGTTTGGGCGAAGAGGGTAAATACCCCACCCCTCTTCCCTCTTTGTGCTCTCGTCCCAACCTTCGCGCTTTTTTCGTACAGGAAACGCTTGCTACACAGGCGAGGTTACATCCTTGTTTTGACAGTTGGCTTCATCCTCCATACACATTTTGTGCGTCAGTTTGACATAGACCTTATTGCTTGGCGTGGTCGTTTGACAGCAAAGAAGAGCTACTTGTAGACAGAATCGTCTGGCTGTTCTCTCTAATCACAGCAGTTTACAGCATTTTACTTCTTAGATGAACATAGTCATTAAAATGAAAAACAAAAAAGTCTTTGAAGTTTGAACCTGCTTTTAACATATATTATTGATTTAAGAGATTTCTCCGTTTGCGATTGGTTTAAATCAAAACTTTGCAGTGAAACATTGTTGTCTTTTTGACTACCGCACCGGTTGTCGAAACGTCAGTCACTGTCAACTACAGTCTTATTCAGGACTACGTTCACCCGGACGATCATGCTAAAACTACTTGTGAAATGATCCCTTGGTTTAAGTCTTTCACAGTTATTGTCTTTTCGTTAATTATTCCCCAGTTTAAAAACAAGGAACCAAATTTCCGATTGTCCGTCACTAATAGGCAACAAGTATATTTCAGTATTTCGAGTTGTAGTTGTACCTACAACACGAAATACGAAATATAATCGGAAAATTGCCATAACGGCTTCTAAATGGCTTGAGAAGGAAACAGACAGTAAAAGGTATAACACAAACAAGTAAGTCAGAATTTAAGACGTGCATTTTATTTATAAAATATATCTTGTAACAAAATTCAAATTCAAACGAATTCCATGCATAAACTGTTACACTTATACTCAAGTCTCCTGTTTTGTTGCGGGAATGCCACCACTTTCCATTTCAAAGCAAATCTTTGTTACTGGCGACGTAGTTTATGCTCAGACTTGTGGGGTATTGACCCTGGAAAACCTCATCGAGCCACCAAAAACGCAGGTTTAAGAACACGGTCTCCGGAACATCCTCGGAGACCCAGGGGCGGTCAATCGGGCCGGGTTAAAAGGCGCGACAAAAGTTTTCAAGCATGGGCGGAAGAGCTTTTCCGCCTGTGCTTGAAAACTTTCGTCGCGCCTTTTCTCCCGGCCCGACTGACCGCCCCTGGGTCTCCGAGGATGTCTCCGGAATAGAGTTTTTTTTCCCGTAAGGGACGCTATTGTAATTCCATTGTTTTAGCGTTTTCTTGTGGACGGGTGAAAACTTTAATACGCTTCTTTGTATTTTAGAAAAAGGAAAAAAATCTCCGTTTTCAAAATTAGTTGGATACTTGTGGACGAGGCATTATATGTACATAGTAACAAATGCTTACTCGAGAACCTGACGTTCCGGACATCGTGAATAGCAACCAGAACTTTGGTGTTTCGTGTCATGCCAAAGCTTCCGGTCTGATCCAACAAGTTTGAAAGCTTTTGTTCTGTTCCCTGTGGTAATGATGTTATCGAGTCGGAGCAAAACGTCCGGAATGTCGACAAGAGCGACCAAAATCTATTTTCTCCGAACCATATCAATACATAATCAAAAGGAAATGTTACGAGAATTGATAAAAGGATCAGTTAAGCGAACATACTCCGATCTTAAAGAAATTCTCTAAACTAGTTCTTCAACTGAAGTGTATAAAGATCAAACTCAAATACGTTCAGCGCAATTGAGGAGACATGTTAACATTTTGGGGTTGCACAGCCCATCGAGCTTATCAAGTAATCGGCCTTATTTTCATCTCACATTTCTTCAGAGCATAGTTGAATCCTTTCCAAGGAGCCCAAACAAGATTTGAAAACCGGCCATTACAAAAAGCCTGGAAGCAATTTTTGAACCACCAGCCGCCCCATGCTTGTACAGCGCAGTTGTTGTCGACATTCATATCATTGTCTGAATCTTTTGAGGTGAATGCCATTCCATTGGAGGACGACAATCCATCACCGGCCGTTCCAGAATACCCATCAACAGTCAATCTGAAGAGGTCTTCCTCTGGTGCCACTCGGAAAGTAGAATATTTTGCGAAGGCAGTGTTTCCGTCCCAGTCCTCCAAGTCGACTCTGAGTTCTTGACGAGAGAACCTGCCATGATCAGTAAACCGTTTAAGGTTACCTAAGCCATGCCAGTAACTCCCAAGTAAATCGCCAAAGCTAAATATGTATTTATTCCAGGTCCGGTCAAAGTTCAGAGAGTCATTATTCACACGTCTTAGTATCACCATCCAGCCACCTCCGTCGGTAATCATATCACAGTAAACACGCGGATCATCAATCCCTTTCCTTGAAGGAACGTTATATACTCCGCTACTTGTGTAGCCACGTTTTAACCACTCAAGACATGACTTTCCAGAAAAAAGTTCTGAAAAAAAGAAAAAAATACACCGCAAGGTATAAAAGTGCTTCTGCCTGCATAAAGCCGGACGATTGACGTAGATCAACAGACGAATGCCCCTGGAAACTCCGGAAAAAATTCTTATCAACAGCGGTGAAAAGAAATAGACAAACGTTTTATCCCAAATAAATAAAGAAATGCCTTTTAAAGTTAAAGGCAGAGAGGAAATATACCATATACCATTTTTGGCAGAAAAGGCAACCCTTTCGTATTCTTTCTATTTGATCAGTATAACTTTCACACAACCTGTTCAAAGCACTGCATCCCTGCTGTAAAAGCATCGTCTTCGTAATAATTATGAAGTTTTCTTGTCTTTTTCACAGCCATAATTAAAACGTGTCTTATGACCCTTTTAGTTCTAGCCTGTTCCTTGCATGCGTGCAGACGTCTCCTATTTCCTTTGTTGCACAGAGGAAATAGGAGACGTCTGCACGCAGGCAAGCCTGTTCCAGGCTTTCGGATTGTTTGGTGGGTGCAAAGTGATGTGAAAAGGATACCTGAACCCTGAAAAAGGTACCCCCTTTAAGGGGGAGTCTCACGGAATAGGTTATTATAGGGAGTGCCCCGTCGGGGGACGCTAAGCATTTTTTCCAGCCCTACAACCTTTCTGCCGGGTATCAAACAGCTGGATATGTTCTAACTACTGAGTTCAGTGAGAGACTGATATCGCACAAGGTAGTGTGTAACAAGGTTCGTCTGTAGTTTTTAGTAACTGTGACATTTTGACAAGCTAAGCAGCCACCTTCGCCTGGGTGGAACAATTAGGGACCTTAAGATCCGACGACGGCGACGGCAGCGAAAACATCGCTTAAAAAGTGAATTCGCGTTCATCCAGTCTTCATCGCGACAGTTCCAACTCACTTACTTTGTCAACTGTAGGCGAACTCTCTTGGAGTTGAATTCCTAAAAAACATATCCAAGTTCAGAATGAGAAAGAAAATTTCGTAGTAGCTTGTTTACGTCCTCCATAAAACGTGAAATAAGGCATTTTCACGTCGTAGTCGTGCAGTGACGGCAAAGAAATGTACAAAAAAGCGTGATGCACGTGCAGAATTGTTGTTTTGCTAATTAAACCTATTGCTTTTGTGGCGTTCCCGTTGCCGTCGCCGTCGTCGGATATTAGGTCCCTATTCCCGGGAGGACGTCGGGTAGTTGCTCCCGTATATTGGCCAGGCAGGTATGTGCTGCTTAGGGTTTGCTTTTTGCCTCTCTGACTCTAGAACAGGGTACAAAAACCACTCGTTATATTTGGAAGAGGGGTATTTATCACTTATCAGTTTGACTGTGGAACAGGGCGGTCTATTTCCCCCCATAATCCCTGATTATTCTGATGATGATTCTCAATCAAGCTTAAGTGCATTCCAAGGTAAATACTTGATGTAGGCAAAAAATAAACAAATGCACGATAATGACAATGTGTACATATTTCATGATATTTTTTCGCTTATTGCCTGAAAAAGGATCTGTTTTTTTTTCCAACTATTGTCTGAATAGGGTCGCAAATTTTTTTCTCTAGTTTGAAACAAGTCCAGAGCCCCAAAGACTCATCGGTACATCCATATATATAGCAAATCTAGGGAGATATTCCCCGGAGAACTACTAGTACGGTCATTAGTTAAAATGGAAAAATTAACTGCTTACCTTCACAGTGTCGCCCAGTGTAATCTGCTGAACACACACACCGGTAATCATTGTTCTCATAGATTGGATAACACGTTCCTCCATTTTCACACAATGTCTTGTTATTTCCACACTTATTCTATAGACAATGGAAATTTTAAACATGAATAAGTTAGTTACCATGACAAGTTAGTAGTTAGTATGTCAATATTTAACCGATTAAAAAGTTTTTTCCGACATGTGTCGTAGTGGAAAAAATTCAGAAAGGTAGTGTTCTAATCTACGCTTGATACCGACCTAGCCGATTTTAGAATTTAGCAGCTTTTCGGTTTTTTTTTTATTTCTTTTTTTTCAAATGGTAAATGCTACTTTCCAAATAAGGCATTTATCATTTGGCCAAACTGTGAAAGAACATTTTGCTCATGTAAATGATAAACAGTTAGTGTATCAGTCTTGGTCAAATGATCGAGGTCTTTAAAGCTAGCATCTTGAAAACAGCAAAAGAAACACCATAGTCTCCCGGTTTTCTTGTTTACTGGAGATCACGTGATTAAAAGAAACCACGGGTGAGCTTTGAGAAAAGACTGTTTGGCCAGTGCTTAAGCATGCGTAAAGTCATATCACCTGGCCATGGTTAAGCACCGCGTTATATGGATTTATTTTAAGAAGTAAACAACTATTTACAGGAAGAAGTAAACAAACACCGTCTAATTTATTTCTTTTTTAAATGCATTCATAGCCTGCGAGTAGAGAGGAAAAGTCGCCACTACACGTTGCCATGGTAGCAAAATTGCTCAATCTGAATTGTAGAAAAAACGAAAAAATTAACAAATATGACTTTTCTGCGACCTTCTGTGGTTTGCACTCAGGAACAAAACGGTAGCTCATACTTTTTCGGCCATCGTTCGTCAATGCAAATAACCGTCTCTTCAAGAAAGATTGTCAGTTGAGAGATCAGAAATTTAGGTACCATAAGAAAGTGACGTCACAATTTTCTCTCTGTACTTACCTTTTTAAAAAAATGGTGGAAGTTGTCACTGTGACTGTAATTGTCTATACTGTTGTACTTGTCAGTGCTGATCAACTCACAGCAATGTTTATTTGTTGTTGAATTTCCTAAGTTGAACGAAAGGCACCGTTCCCATTGCATTACACATTTCATGGCGCAATCTTCCATTGAATCAACAACAGAAGATGATATCTTGTGGCTTGTTAGGCGATGAAAAGGATCCAAATCAAAGCTAATATACTGAAAAACAGTTGCTGCCGAGCCATGACATCTGATCGGTATCTCTTGGACGTGTAAAGATAACGCAGAGAGGATAATTATTGCGATACCTTGCATAACGATCTTGGTTAGTTTTGACTGAAGACAGGCAAACCTTGTTACTGAAATTAGTGTAAGCGTTACCGCCTTATACGTAAAAAAGGTATTTGTTTCATGTATATTGAGAAGCAAACCAATTTACACCTAAACTCGTACGTCTAACTATATGTCATTAAGTCAATTAGCAACTCCAGTTTTTTATGATTTCTTGCTATGCATGTTATAATATAGCCTCCCCCGCAGACATTCTTAGGCTAGTTATAATACTGTTTTATATTCCAATATTATTTTCTCCAAAGGCCTTTTTGACAACCTTACAGCAATTTCGCTTAGCTATTTGCTGTACTACTGCATGAGGAATTTCTGCAATTTGATTGGCTTAGAGCAGTGGTATTTCAGCTTAATTTGAAATACCTACATGTGAAAATTACAAACCTTTTGCGGGTAGTAGTATAAAAAAATAATAGCATAATTTGTACGTGATATTTGGCATAAATACCACCTGGGATATTTCAAAACTGTCTACAAATTTCACTCGCCTAACGGCTTGTGAAATTACGTATAACAATTTCGAAATACTGATCCCTCATGGTATTTATGCCAAATACCACTACAAATCATGGTATTCGGGGTTCTAGAAAATCAAATTTGACAAGTTTTTCGAATTTTGTTTTATCGACTCCTATTAACTAAAATGAGAAAGAAAATTAAAAAGTTGATTTAATGTTAACACCTCAGCTAAAGCTAAAGCTACTAATTAGTCAAAAATTTTAGTCCTCGCTAGAGATAAACAAAGGCTATTAGAAGTTTTCTCTGTCCGAAGGAAACCTAATCCAACTTTCTTCCTGGACTTCCTGATCAAGGCAAATCTGTATTTTTTTTATATATATTCGTGAACAACTTTAATTTGCCATTGTGTATGACTACAATAGTGACATTCAAATAAAGTACGTCTATATTTAACAATTACTACTCAAGCCCGAATGGGCTCTGAGGCAAACTATTGACTCAGAGGCCACGAGGGCGAGAGGAATAATTGATTAAGTAAAATCCAACTAGTTGGTCATAAATATCGAAACAAAACAACTTTAGCTAGCAAAACGCGATTCAGCCGCTATTGTTTTGGTTTTCAAAGCCGGCGCTTATCGCTACTCGTGGGCTATAACATATGGCCTAGTAGTACCTCAACCAATAGGAACGCAGCATTGATTAATAATAGACCCGCTAGTTGGATTTTACTAATTCAAGTTATTCATTTTTTTCTTGCGAGTTTTAGGAAGTCGCAACTGGTAATTATAACACTTTTGTTTCTTCACTTAAAGCTATGATGTAAAATGCAAAATGGGCTTATCGCGATTACTCTATACAATGGGCCAGGGTCATTTACACAAAAGCCAGTCGTCATTTTGGTACCAAAGCGGCGCTCGATGGCGACGATCTTACGGAAAAACAATTGACTGGTTTTTTGTTGTTGTTGCAACAACCACAACAACAAAAAAGATGTTATTAACGACTCCACAACATCACATAAACTTTACAATCTGAGACTAGCGGGTAATTACATGAGACCGGGACGAACTTAGACCGGTACAAATTGGTAATTTGTGCAGCCGTTTTCATGAGTCCCAAACGAAATGCTTGGTCGATTAAATGAGACTGGTACCGAACTCAAAAACGGGAGATTCTCGGGAGCTATATAACTTTCACAATTCGATTATTGAACATATTATTTACTAACTGTCCTAACTGGCAGATGATTTATGACACTAGACAGTTAGTAGACAACCGAAGAGTTTACTGCTCCCAGAAAATTATAAGCTTTATCTAACGCTCGTCTGGTGGGCTGTTAGTATTTATTGCACAGCATCTCAAAATTGTACAATCCCTCACATTAATCTACAATTAAAGTTACTTCCAAGTCTTGTTTACTGATGTTATCATTCATTCATTCATTAGAATTTATTTGGTAAAGCAGGTTAAGTTAAAAGGCAGCTAAAGCTGAGGTGGACCTGCTGATGAACTATTTATTGATGATATACGAATAAAATGAAAAAACATACTGAAAATAGGAATATAAAAAGAANCCCGGAACACGTCTTTACAAAACTATTCTTTCTATCACGTTTAGCTGTATTTACTTTTTCGCACGTGATCGTGAAGGTCAGAACCAAATTACCATAAGATCAGAGAGAGTTTACAGTTTTACTTTTTGTTATGTCTGTTTTGCACTTACGATTTTATCGGCTTACTTGTCATAAGCATGAAACGTAACCTGTTTTAACGCAAAAGACAAAGTCTGATTTCTTGCATGGAAGAAAAGCACTTAAACGTGATAAACATTGCGCGTTATTCCAGTCATCCCCCAAAATAAACCACATGCTCATCACGAGACTCATTTCCATACAATGAAAGTCGTCACGATTCTTATCCCCAGTTTCCACGGTCTTCGCTAGGAACGCGGGACCTACAAACTAGGTCCCACCGAAAAAAAAAAAAACCGAACTGCATTTTAAGATTCTCGCTTTGCTAAAGCAAGCGAGACTAATAAATATATAGTAGTTAGATAAAAGACTAAAAGTTAATAACAATTAAAATACTGTTTCTCCTTGTTGAAATTTATATTGTCGAACAAGGGTCTATTTTTCTTAAGAAGCTTTTTAAACATATTTAGACTTGGTAATCTTTTCAAAATTGTCTGGAATGGAGTTCCAGAACAAAGCTCCCCTATATCTAATTTACAGCGATAAATATAAAACTTTGACACTAGAATAAGGTGATTTACAATGACCAAATCTTCTTCTGTATAAATATACCAAATCAAACATTGGCAACAGACAAACACCAGACAGATACACCTTGATCAATGCCAGCCAAGCATGTCATCATAGGCTTAAATTGACCGTTACTCATTACGCATGCGTAAACCGAAAAAAATTAGAAGCCGAACCATAAGGATTACGCAAAGATTTGTTATAAATTATTTTTACCTACCAATGATTGCAATATATATAGATTTAGCCAGGCGTATAAAAATACGTGACCAAATAATTTTTGAAAGGGAACTTCTTGAACTCACCTGTGTTCCCTGATCTATCAATGGTTTGAGTGACAGAACGAACTAGCCCACGGATCATTTCTTGTGTCCCGTGTATATAGGTATTGCATGCGATACTGCTACAGGCAAACAATTATGTCCACCTGTCAAGACTGTCCACATTTCCTTGCGACGATGGATTGCTCAAGGGCTCAGAAGACACTGATTTCAAGCGTGCAAACTTTGTACCTGTACTTTAAGTCGGTATGAACTCAAAAGAAAAATTGATGACTATGATTCATGTATCCTAAAATTATTTATGTCACAAATGACGTTTTTCTCTTTTGTCTGTCCTGTTCAGTGTTCGTTGTTATTGTTGCCTCACTGTTAGTGACCTTTCGTAACAACACTGGCGTAGCAAGCGTTTCCAATCGAATTATCATTCCTCTTTTTGCTCTCGTCCCAACTTTCTCGCCGAACTCGCGCAGAAACAAGCTTGCTAAGCACGCTAGACAAACTGCAAAGTCTTCCTTCAAGTTCTTTTTTTCTAGAGACATATTCATCGGCTTTTCAAACAGCGTAGCAACCAATTGTTAGCACTAAGTCACCAAAGGACACCGCAAAACAAAAAATAAATAAATAAATAAAATAAAAATAAAAGTAAAAAATAAAAACTATAAGTAATTTAAATAAGAAATCCTTTACATGAAAGAAACTATGAGAGGTGAAAGCCGGCATCTAATTATTATTGTGCCATGTAATTTAAGCCTAAATATTTCAAAAAAAGTAATTTGTAGTCTTTGTAAATAGAAGAAGACGTTTTGAAGCCCGGTTTCCCTATGATCGCTTCGGTCGCTGCGATCGCTGAGAAAAAAAATTCAGCGATCGCATCGATCATATGGAAACCGGGCTTTAATGGATTGAAATTTATACGAGTATCAGTTGTTTAGGTGGTTCAAACGGACGTATTTAACGGTTTTACATTAAAAAACAGTCCTACCTATTTTGTTTAATCAAATGAAGAATGATCCTCGCAATGTAGTTGCCGAGGAATTAAACCTAGATCGAATCAGAGCTTCGTGTCCTCATGCCGTGACGCTGCGTGACGATATCGAGGACGTTTGCTTCGAATAAGATCTTCGTGTCCTCACGCCGTGACGCTGCGTGACGATATCGAGGACATTTGGGTTGAAGCAAGAGAGAATGAGATCATCCTCTCTTGGTTGAAGAGACCGATTATGGTAATATCTATATTTTCTGGGGAACATTTTTTTTGTCCCCCTTCCAAAAAATTCATCATGTAAATCGATTTTAAATTTTATGTACACTTTGATGGTTACACTAATATTCTTTAACAGACGCATGCGCTTAAATAATAATCATAAAATTATTCGTTCAAAATATCTTCTCCTTTCTGATTGGCTTAACCTCCCCGGATACTTCTTAACTTCCTCCTTCGATAACTGCGGAGTTTTAGCGTCGATAAGGAGCATGCAATTACAAGAAGCCCACTAACCCACTCAAAGTTAGTACATGCTAGAGGAAGTCACCAGCTTGCGACGATTCCAAATCTTGTATGACGAGGCGATTTACCGCTCACATTTAAACATATATTACATATCGCGCGTGTTTTTGAACAAACTAAAGTAAACATTTAAAATACTCTGCTGCCGAAGCCGGGAAACAGTTTGGGAACCTATAACAAATGACCCAACTTCAATTTTCGGAAAATATCTGTTGGGAAGACGATTTAAGATCTAGAATTTTCGGAACATTTGTTGTAACATTTCTTGCTTGCCTGCCTCTCCTAGGATTTTCGAACATCTAAAAAATGGTATAATTGTCCTTTTTTAACGGATTTTTACCCTAAAAAGGTCAACTAGAATTTGCGGAAGCTTTTTTTCTGGCTGAAATTTTCGAAAAGGTAAGTTTTGATCCCTATAATTTTCGGATCACTAGACTTTCAGCTAGAAAAATCCTAACA